GAGAGGGTCCAGCGGAGGGCAACCAAAATGATTAGGGGGCTAGAGCATATGACTTATGAGGAGAGGCTGAGGGACTTGGGTCTGTTTAGTCTGCAGAAGTGAAGAGTGAGGGGGGATTTGATTGATAGCAGCCTTCAACTTCCTGAAGGGAGGTTCCAAAGAGGATGGAGAGAGGCTGTTCTCAGTAGTGACAGATGGCAGAACAAGGAGCAATGTTCTCAGGTTGTGGTGGGAGAGGTCCAGGTTGGATATTAGGAAAAACTATTTCACTAGGAGGGTGGTGAAACACTGGAATGGATTACCTAGGGAAGTAGTGGAATCTCCATCCTTAGAGGTTTTTAAGTCTCGGCTTGACAAAGCCCTGGCCAGGTTGATTTAGTTGGAATTGGTCCTGCCTAGAGCAGGGGGCTGGACTTGATGACCTTCTGAGGTCTCTTCCAGTTCTATGATACACTACAGTGATCTATCGGAAAAATTTGCCTGCCTTTTTTCAATTGGTTTTTTTTTTGGAAGAGGTTTTTCTGAAATTTGGCCCGTCTACACTAGGTCAAATTTCAGAAAAGCTTCCTCTTTTAGAAGAACCCTTCTTCCTCATTGAAGGAAAAAGACAGGGCTTCTGAAAGGGTGCATCTGCTCTTCTGCCAAAACAAAACAAACAAAACAGAAGAGCATACGTGTTCCCTGGACACGGAGTTTTTCTGGAATCCTGGAAAAACCCTATAGTGTAGACATAGCCATAGTTTCACACAATGTTTGATCTTAGTCACATTCTTCTGTTCCCTGTCTTGTTTCTGTCACCACACATTGGTTAATACTGATTTCAAGTGACAGCTATTTCAGAAACTATATGAGTCATTACAATAGCATCATCCAGCCCTTTAAGTGGTTGTGTGTATGTCTTTGGAGAAGAGACGTCTCCCGAGGCCCAGGCTCGTATAAATAATTTTCTGGTATGCAATGGAGTATGCTGTTGATAAATTAGTCAACTTTGTGTAAGATCATTATTCATATTATAATAATATACCAATACTGTTTTATTGTTTCTATATGGTTATAATTGCTAATGTCAATATTGTTTTGTTAGCATTTATTTTCATAGCATTTTCTGAGTGAAGCAACAAATGGAAAAGTGGTGCCAAAAACTGACAGGTAAGAACACTCATTTTAAACTTCTGTATCACTGCAGGGAAACTAAAAGGAAAAAATGGGCAAATGTTTGGTTGGGAAGGTTAAATGCTGAGCATTTAGCCAGATCTTTGTTGGTATCAGCAGTAGTGCTATATGTTCATCTTCTCCTCTGAGGTTATGGAAAAAAGTCTTCCCTGGGCTTATTCTTCCTATATAGTGAAAATGAGGCATAAGCCATAGACTGATTTAAGAAATATAAATTGCAATAAAACAGTGGAACTGGAATGACATTTGTTTAAGAGCTCAGAAAAAACTGCTGAACTAAGTAGTTGAGCTACAAAATATATGTAAAAGTGTTATGTAGTGATAAGTGTTCATAGTGATAGGAGATCAGATGTGAGTCCGAAAAAAAACCCTCTAAACCCTACTGTGGAAAACAGAAGCATGAAAAAGCACAGCAGATAGTATATATATTATTGAGCTTTAAATCTTGACAAAGTTTGAGTCTAAGAAATAAGAATCCCTTTGTCTCACCATGTATAGTTAGTTATGTATGATGTCCCTGAATGTGAATGGCTGGCAGCTATTACCATACTTTTTCTCAGTAAAGAGGTCTTGAGTTTGAAATTTGCTTCCTTCTAAGCCAGCCTGAATTTAACTTTCAGGGCACTATGAAAAGCTAATTCTTTTATCCTTTCCCTAATGTTAGTAGGTTTATGCTGTATTCTGCGCATAGGGAATCTTGTTTACTTTTAGCAGTATTAATTGTTGTTTGTACATTTGCCTAAAGTAGCTGTGATGGGAGAATTTTAAACTTTGAAAACAAATTAAATGAAAGGTAGAGAGAATTAGAAGCACATTTTTCCCTTTCCCATAATAAATAATCCCAAAAGGGCATTTGATTTTTAAAAAGAGTATATTTAATAATTGGTTATTTTGACTGTATAATCAGTGGAACTCATGAGCTTCAGGGGGTAGCCCACTTAGTCTGTTACAGGAACAAAACAAGCTCATGATATGATCTACATGTTTTGTTAAAGTGCTACCAGACTGTTTGTTGTTGTTTTTTTTTCAGTGGAACTCATAATAGGTTAACATGAGCACTGGAAATTAGAAAATTTAAAATGGTGGCTGACAGTGCACATTTGTTCTACCTATAATATCGTGTGTTTGCATCCACCCTAAATACTCACTGGAAATTGTTCGTGGCAGTCTTAGCAGTTGATTGTATATCCCTCCCCCCTTACCTAACTTGTCCTAGCAATACTTTTTGCCATTTGCTAATTGGTGCTAAAATGTTGTTTGGATTTTTCAAACCTGTTGTTGATTATTTGTAAGTCCATATTTAGTTATTTATTCCGTTTCATGTCTTGACACAAACCAATTCACATTTCAAATAAAATCCAGGACATTGATTTAGGTCTCTAACAGAGAGTCAATACCGTGGGTTCTCCAAAGTTTAGACTTGTTTCTCTGAAGCTTGTGGTAGAGTTGATCTAAACATTTTTCCCTTATCTGAATCAACCTTTAAAAATTATAGTTAAAAAACCTTTATATTTCAGCATGCCTCCTATAGTATTTTTAGTACTCAGTTTGTACAATAATTTGATATCTCTCTTAACAGTGTAGGATAACGCATCAAGCGTCTCTTTATAGAGAGCATGTTGAGAATGGTGATTGTCTCTACGGAAAAGCATGGGTAGCTACCTGAATGATCACTTTGAAAGTGTTTAGCAGTCATACAAAATTTTTTATGGTAGTTAAATAAAATTATGATTTAAAGTTTATTTTAAATATATATTTACATATTGCTAGTCCTTAAACATTTAAGATTATAAAATAGGGAATTATTGGATTTTATTTCTTTGTATAAATGTAAATGTCCGCTAACCAATAGAAAAAGTTTCTAATTACAAAAAAAAAGACAAGTTTAGGGTCTAAAACATCCTTGCAGTGAAAGCACCACTGATAGACAGCAAGCTTGTGCTATATTTGCAACTACAACTACCTTCTGATATATACACTGATGTATCCTTTTGGGTGAAAATCTCACCCAAATGACTTCAAACAGTTAGCCCTAATAACGTGGCTTAATTTCAATCTTGTTGCCTATGTTTATAATAAGGACGTAGAAAACTAATGAAATCTTTTATTTTTGAAAATATTGGAATGGGCATACAAAAGAAATCTAAATTGTCAGCATTAACATGAAGCATTTGGGTATTTCTTAGGAGCACTAAACATTAAAAGTTGGGGGGAGAGGGAGAGGAAAAAAGACAAATGACAAAGTTTTGCCTTGAAATTGAAGTATGCTTGATTGTGTTGTGAGGTATTTTATTCCCTTTTGTTGTGAGCAACACTTAAACCATTTTATACATAGTGTAAGGACAAGTGATTAGCAAATCCAATACACAAAAAACTGGTGGTAGAATAATCCCCACTTTCTTTGTGGTTCCCATATTTACTTATATATCCCATATGTGGCTTCATGCAGTGTTCCCTGAAAGGAGCCCTTAAATGGAATAGAGCTGTGTGTTTAGCGGGCTGAACCTGTGTATAATATAAACAACTAATACAATTGATCACTGTAGTGTGATTCCTGACATTCTTGAAATTCTGATTGGACCAGTAGGTGATCCAAAAATGTTAATTATGCCAAATGGAGAACATCTCATCTGATGTGTATAGCTTGCACCCTCTTTATATATTAAGATAAGTCATAATCTGTTGAGATAGTAGTAGTACCACTCTACAGAGACTAGAGCTTCAAAAAAGTTTGTAGCTCACTACACATCTGCTAAAAATGGAACAGTTGTCTGTGGATACAGGCATCATGAAAGCCTGGGAAAGTAGTACCATCAGTTTATAGTGTTTAGGTCCATTTTAATTACCAAAAACACTCTTCAGTCACAAATAGCTGTGGTTCTTGTAGCATACAAGTTTTGTCAAGTTTGTAAAACAAACAGCAAAACACCACAGCAACCTTTAATTTCTCCTTGTACACACCATTCACAGTACATTAATAGCCCAAATAATATTGCACTGATCATTTTTAAAACTATTCCTCTTGCAAGTAGTATTCCCTGTTCAAAACTAAACACACACACAATTTTGGTCAGCTTGCACCCAGAAAAAAGGCAAGATAAATCCTATAATTCATCTATACTACATGTATATGTAACCCCAAAGTGAAATGATTGATGATCTGTAAACTATTTAAGATAGAAAATTAGTAATTCCTTGAATAGTATGTAGAAAGACTGAAAAATTAAATCTGAAAATTACCTCATTGATGTTAGACTGCTTACCATGTATCTTTATAGTCTATACTGTGAAAATCCATACTACATTTAAAAATCCAGCAGTCTACAGGTATCATCTTAAAAAATTATGAAAAGAGAAGAAATAGCATTTGCCTCACTAGAGATTGTGAAGTTACAAATTAGTTTATATTGTTTTCAGGTGCAATCTGTGAGGCAAGAAAATGTCTTTTGGCATTTGGCACTCGGACAATATTTTAATACTGGCACAAGCTAAAAAACAGCACACAGAATGACAAAAAATACAGGACATGAAACTAATTCCTGCCATCAGGATGATGGCTGTTTGAAAGATTTAAGGTGGTTAAACAGCTTTCCTCAGGCAATCAAAATTGCTGTAAAACCATTTGTGGTGGGAGTTTTGTTTTTAAACAAATGTAAATTGTACTGAACTTTAAGGGAGAAAATATATTCAAATGTCTTCTAGAAAAGCAGCAACTTCTAGAATGATCAACTTGATGAGTGTTTAGCCATCAGTACACATGAGATTCTTTATGACTAAATACACGGGTGCGTGAGGCAGAGCTGGTGGCACTTCGGATTACTTCCATCCATCTGTGAAGGAAAGATAAAGTAGTAAATAGCCAACAGGGTCTTTCTGAAAAGATGTACTCTGAATGTACCCTCTTAAACTACACTATTCTGTTCATTTTTAATTTCAGGGTTCACTGGATGATCTTCAGAACTGAACTGGTTTTAACCTATGCTCTCCCTCTGTAGGAAACATCTTATGAGAGTCCATCACCAATTGAGTAAGGGTGCATTATATATATGAAGCAGCATTATAGGGGGAAATGTATGGTTGATATTTGACTACAGGTGGTAAAATTCTTGGGCTGACTGTGTTACTGATTTTTTAATACCTAATAGACAAAAAATTCATATGAACAATATAAAGCTTTAGATGAGCGTCTTTGAAAAGTTGTGAAGCAAATGGAACATCAAACTTCATTCCACCATGGAACATGGTTAGTTTAATTTTTGGTGAAAGCAAATTCAATGGGGAGTTGGGGTCAGTACCATCTGTGTGTCCTATTTATTATACCCAAGGGCTACGTCTATACTATAGGCTTCTTGCACAAGAACTGTTTTACACGAGTTCTCGTGCAAAAGATCTTCCAAAAGAGTGCATCCACACTGCCATATGCTTTTGCGCAAGAGCGTCCATGGCAGCGTGGACGCTCTCTTGCGCAAGAAAGCTCTGATAGCCATTTTAGCCATAGGGCTTTCTTACGAAATAAACACCTGTTGCCTGTCTATACTGCCTTCTTGTGGAAGAGCTCTTGTGCAAGAGGGCTTATTCCTCGTGGGGAGAGGAATAACTCTTGTGCAAGAAGCCCTGTTTTCTGACGCTTTACTGTAAATTTACTTGCGCATGAACATACATGCAGTGTAGACACTCTGCAAGTTTTTGCGCAAGAACAGTTCTTGTGCAAAAAGCCTGCAGTGTAGACTACCAGAAAACACCCTGGCTAGCTGGAATTGTGGGGTGTGCAAAACTGCAGCATATACAGAGACATATGGGTATAGCCTGTGAAGCCATGAACATCACTATTTGAATTATAGCACCTACATGCCCCACAGTCACAGAGCAGGACCCCCACTGTATAAACATAAAAAAGATACTTTGTACATGCTTTGGGGGGCAGGAACCAAATATAAAACAAGAGTTGCAGCTGGGATGAAGGCAGTTTATTTACATGTGTATTGCACCACTACCAAATGTCAGGTAGGTGGATACCTGTTTCATACTCCACAAATAAAATGTACCTATGCCCATTCAGCCAGATGGCTTTTAAGTAAACTAATTTTACTTTTATTTCTGGTATATAACAGTTTAAGCTACCATACTTTTTTTAAGCAAAAGCTTATTTACCAGAGAACTATTCCCCATTTGTAGTCTCCTAGTACCTTTGCAACAGCATATTCAATTTGATAAATAATGTAAATTTCTAAGTGTGGTGAATGAGTTTGCTGTGTTGACATTTGCAACAGTTCACCATGCTTGCATTTGACCTAATGTCGTCAGAACAACCTGGCATAAAGACATCATTTTCCTTTATAGCAGAAAACTGACATACCTTTCAAATGTGTATTCACTTTCAGCCCTGAAGTAGTACACGTGGGATTTGAAATGTAACTTGAAAACATAATCTTTGTGAATGTTCTCAGATTCTGAAGGAATGGTAAGTGAATACCCCAGTAGAGGAAGGCTGGCTAAAGGATGATTGTCCTAGAAACAAAGGATGAAAAACACTGTGATGTCATTTAGGCCACAAAACTGCAAATATGCGCATACATTTCAGTTTCCCACACTTAAATGAAAAAATGTTTGCTTTACCAACAGGTCATGTTGCATAGATATGATACTGTATTTCATGAGAAATAAATTTATATTGTTTAATGACAACATTAATATTCACTTAGTAGCTTACAGTTCTTCATGTGATGTCCCTGTGGATGCTCCACACGTGGTGACGGACATCCCCAGATCCACAAATTGGAGATTTTTCTAAGCAGTTGCTAGTCGGGCTGTGCATGCGCAGCAGGTGTCTCATGCTGCCAGCAGTTTGGCCTGACCCTCTCCCCTCAGTTCCTCTTCAACCACCCTAGATTGCAAACGGAGCTCTCTGCCTCCTGAGGCACTTAATCTCCTCAGAGAAACTGTTTCACTTTCTAGCCCACTCTCATTATTCAATTAGTGAGAGATTACTTCACTAGTTACTTTTTTTTTTTTTTTTTAGAAATGAAAGAAAGTCAATTAAGAAAAATGAGCTGTTCTTCCGGTCCCCATGGACCGCTTTGGCAGCGACAGCTCTGCTCTGATTCAGCCTCTTTAAAAAAAAAACAAAAAAAAACCCACCCACTTAACAGAAGACAAAGGAAAAGAAGAAGATCACTGCCCTAGGGGGGGTGAAGGCTGCGGAAGCACTCATATCTTAAGCCCACACGCTGTGGGCTTATTCAGTCAAAGCAAGAACTCTTCTCCCCCCACCTCCCACCCATATCTGCCGTTAAGGGCTTGTCATGTCGGACTCGCAGGGCTTCAAGAAATGCCTATCGTGGGCACCCTGGGACTATTGGAGACCACAGAGGCATTGTTTGAATGGTCTATCTCCTTTACCTAGAAGACTTCCGCCAGCCTTTTCTCCCCCATACTATCCTGACCATGCCAGATTCTGAACAGGAGGTTCACTATCTGATGGTCATGAAGATTCACACTCTTCGTTAAACAATCCTTTCCTCTAGCTAGACAAGGCTATGGTCCCGGATGATATGCATGGCACCAACCATTTGAAACAATTTCAAGACCTCTTCAAAAAAGTGGCCACCCACACAAGAAGTCAAGTTTCAAGAAGTAAAGGAGAAGCAGTATTGCCTCCTGAAAAACATCCATGATGGGCAGAATAGCATTGCCTATTGATGAGGTCATTATGGAGGTCTCAGATCATATCTGGAAAGCATCTTTTTCAGCTCCACCGACTTGCAAATGGGGAAACAAAAAGTATTTTATTCCCCCCTGAAAAAGCTTGATTTTCTTTTCTCCCTCCCACAACCCAATTCATTGGTGGTGCATGCTGCAAATCAAAGCTACAAGACTCTCCAGTTTAGATCCAATATTGGGGACAAATCACAAAAAATTTGATCACTTTGGGGAAAAAAAGTGTATTCCTTAGCCACTCTGCAGCTTAGGATAGCAAATTACATGGCCTTATTAGCAAACCATGACTTTGGTTAATGCTCCATGAGTTCTGCTAATTTAGAGTAGTTATCAGAGTCCCAAAGATCTATCCTTCGAGCAATCATTCAGAAAGGCCATACTATTGTCCGCAGCAATTGACATAGCTGATGCTGTTGCAAGGGCAACAGCCATGGAGATAGTCATGAGAAAGGTATCATGGTTACAGGCTGCAGGGGTTCCCAAAGATCTTCAGAATAAAGTAGAGGACCTATCTTTCAATAACAAAGATTTTTGCAGCCAACGCCAATGAGATCCTGCATGGTACTAAGAACTCCTATGCACCCTAGGGATGTATATGCCATCATACAAGAGAAAGTGCTACACCCCGTACAACAGGATCAGAGAGTTGTTCTACATAGCGCTTACACAAGCCCTATGATTATACCAGGAACAGGCAATGTATCCCAAGGAAGCACCCTCAGCCATCACGTTCCTCAGGCTCTCAAGCTACTAAACAGCAAATTTGAAACATTGGTTGAGGGTCTCCACAACCTCCCAGATCTTCCAGTGCAACGACAGGACCACAGCTAGCTATTCCACCACAAGCTTTGCCCCTATATCCATCAGTGGGGCACTGTAACATCAGACTGCTGGGTTTGGGAAATCTTACGCACAGGTTACACCATCCTGTTTATTTCCATCCCACCTACCCATCTCTTCTACCCGTCCCTCTTCAGGGACCCTTCTCACGGGTTTCCTCTCAAGCAAGAGATGGAGTGGTTTCTTTAACTAAGAGCTCTAGAAAGGGTTCCCGCCCCATACTGGGGAATGGGCTTTTATTCAGTGTATTTTCTCACCCAGAAGTACACAGGAGGCTGGAGGCCAATCCTGGATCTTCGGAAGCTGAACAAATTCCTGTGGAAACGGCACTTCAGAATGGACACACTAGTCTCAAAAATTCCAGCAGTGGACAGAGGGAACTGGTTTGCAGCCCTCGACATACAAAACACGTATTTCCACATAACCATACATCCATCACACAAATGTTTCCTTCACTTTACAGGAGGAGAGAACCATTTTCAATACAAGATCCTTCCCTTCGGCCTGTCATCTGCTCACGGGTCTTCTCCAAAGTCCTCGCAGTTGTGGTGGCATACCTCAGACAACAGGGGATGACAATTTTTCCTTATCTTAACAACTGCTTACTGACAGGTCACTCGCAAGGGGAGGGCAATTGACATAAGAAACAAACGACTGTTCAACTTTCTGGGACTTTTAATCAACGAACAAAAGTCAATACTCAGTCCAGTTCAGGACTTTGAATTCATATCAGCAAGACTTAATGCCATATCAGCCAGGGCACACCTTCTGCAACACAGGTTCCATACACTTAAAGATTTGGTTCTCTCCCTCATTGCAAATCCATCCACCATCATCCATACCTGTCTTCAACTCATAGGGTACATGGCAGCAACCACATATGTGGTACAGTATGCACGCCTCCATTTCCGTGCCTTATAGCATTGGCTAGCATCGGTCTACATGCCCTTATGTCATTCGTAGCACAAACCGGTTCTTGTGCCCGAGCAAGTACTGCAGTCACTCAGATGGCAGACATGTCCACAAAACCTCTTAACTGGGATCCCATTTTTACAGGAGGAGACTGCCGTATAAACCACCATTGGACGCTTCACTTCCAGGTTGAGGTGTGCACTTCCAACACAAAACTGTACAGTGTAATGCAAATGGCTGCCTCACAAGCCTCTGTTACACATCAACATTCTAGAACTCAGGGTCATCAAATGTCTGCAGGCACTTTGCCTCTTCCATAACCAACTGCTCAGTTTGTGTTCTCACAGACAACATGATCACTATGTACTACATAAACAGGCAGGGGGAGCGCTTTCCAGATCTCTGCGCACAGAGGCAGTCCACCTGTGGAATTGGTTTAAGAGGCATGGGGGTCACCCTAAAAGCCACATACTTACAGGGGGTTGACAACACCATAGCAGATGCCCTAAGCCACAACTTTACAATTCAACATGAGTGGGAACTGTAGCCAGCAGTCATGGATGTCATCTTTCTCAAAGGGGGCAATCCTACCATGGATCTCTTCACAACACCAAACAATGCCAAACATCTCAATTTTTACTCTCGAGAGGGACTGAGCAGGAGATTAAGGGCCGATGTGTTCTTCATCATGTGGGATGAACCACTGTATTATGCCTTTCTTCCGATTCCATTGATTCCCAGGATGTTGCACAAAAGTTGTCTGCACAGCACTCGAGTTATCTTGATAGCCCCCACTTGGTCCAGACAGATTTGGTTTCCAGCCCTTCAGGACTTCTCTTGAACCAGCTTACTCATTGCCACATCAACACGACTTCCTATTCCAGAATGAGGGCAAGCTGCGTCACCCGAACCTGCAGTCGCTACACCTTGGCACATGGCTCCTTGCTGGTTCTTTGATCATGAGGGTTCAGTGCTCTAAACATGTGAAAGGTCCTACTGCACAGCAGGAGAAAGTCCACCAGAGTGACTTACCTACACACATGGAGGCGTTTCACCTTCTGGTGTCAGCGGACACAAGTCAACCCCAATGAAGCTCTAGTACAAACCATTCTGGACTACTAATGCACCCTGTAGACTGATGGGTTATCTGTCTCTGATTGAGGTCCACCTGGCCTCCATCTCAGCTTTCTGCAGATGAACTGATGGGGCTTTGGTATTTGCACACCCACTATCAGGGAACCTCCTCAAAGATCTTCACAATCTCTGTCCACCTTGTAGAGTGCCAACCCCTACATGGGACCATAATCTGGTACCTTGACTGCTCTCATGAAGTCCCCCTTTGAGCCAATGGCTTCATGTACTCTATCGCAACTCACCATGCATATTCTCTTTATGGTAGCCATAACTTCTGCAAGGAGAGTCAGTGAAATAGGCGCACTAATAGAGGGTCCACCCTATACAGTTTTCAGTATGGATAAAGTGACTTTGATGCCACATCCGACGTTCCTCCTGAGGGTAAGTACAAGTTTCCATATCAATGAGCCTATTGTCCTGCCCATGTTCTTCCCAAGACCTCATGCTTCTCTCAGGGAGGCAATGCTACATTCATTGGATGTAAGAGCAGCTTTGGCATTTTACACTGACAGAATTCAGGGTCTTTGCAAGACCCCACGACTCTTTGTTGCTATGACTGACCTTTCAAAGGGCAAACCCATCTCGACTCAGTACATTTCAAAATTGATAGCAACTTGCATTCTCCAATTAACCTCTGCTAACCTTACCAAGATGTAAGATGAAAATAAAGGGGGGGGGGGGAAATCATGACTGGCATGTAAAAAGTGAATAAAGAAAAGTTATTTACTTATCCCCACAATATAAGAACTAGGGGTCACCAAATGAAATTAATAGGCAGCAGGTTCAAAACAAATACAAGGAAGTTTTTCTTCACTCAGCGCACAGTGAACTTCTGTAATTCCTTGCCAGGGGATGTGGTGAAGGCTAGGACTTTAAATGGATTTAAAAAAAGATCTAGATAGATTCATGGAGGTTAGGTCCATCAATGACTATTAGCTAGGAAGGATAGGAATGGTGTCCCTAGCCTGTGTTTGTCTGGAAATGGATGACAGGAGAGGGATCACGCAAGGATTACCTATTGTGTTTCCTCCCTCTGGAGCATCTAGCATTGACCACTGTCAGCAGACAGGATACTGGGCTAGATGGACCTTTGGTCTGACCCAGTATGGCTGTTCTTATGTTCAATTTAGATTTTAAGCTTTTTGGGATTGGGGCCTGTAACTTTTTAATTTGCCTGTAAATCACAGGGCGTATACCTATGAAACTGTATCAGTGTGTGTTCACAGAAGTGTCATGAAAAGGTCATACACAATGCGTAGTACTATCTAACCTGATTTCTCTTCAACTTGTCAAATGAGTTAGGAAAGCATCAGGCAGTCTTAATAATAGGTGTGCTACAAGATCTGCCTATAATGCTCCTGACCAATTTTAGTTTATTTCCTTCCTGTTGCCACTAGCAGAATGGATTTTTATTGCTAACTACTTATCTTGGTGTTTATACTCTAAAACAGGGCTACTCAACACATGGCCCGTGGGCCACATGTGGCCTGCGGCCCGTTTGTTTGCAGCTCGCCATGCAGTTTGGGTTTACGTGGGGATCTACAAGCGGTCTGCAGGTCGGAGCCAAAACAAAAAAGTAGTCAATATAATGGTCTTCTGATATGCATTTTAGTAGTTAAATCCCTGGACTGTCATTGCTCGTTAAAAGTGTTGTCATATGGGTGGAAATCGGGTAAATATTGCATTTTATTAATATCAGCAGAACTGACTTAAATGGGGCCTATGTGTTGAGTAGTCTTGCCCATCAGTGTGAAATAAGCTATTTGCATTTATATTTGCATGTATATGCAACCACACTTAAGTTGCAGCCCTTGGCATTTGCTGTGAACATCATTGTGGCCGTTGGGGTTTCCAAAGTTGAGTAGTTCTGCTCTAAAACAAATAAGACTTTGAAACCTGTGCAATTTATTTACCTGGTGCGATTTGTAGAAGAACATGCAGAAGTTCGTGAATACCACCCAGAGCTTCTGCCACCCATTGCTGTTCTTGAATTTTCTTAATAGGTTTCCAGAGAGCTGATTCTGAAATTGATGAAAGTAGTAAAATAGACATATACAACCAAATCATACACACTGATGGAAAGTAGCCAAACCTCATGTAAAGAATGTTTATTTTTCTATTTAATTTATTATTCCTACTCGTCATTAATCTTGTGGGTTTTTTTTTTTACTTTCAGAATCAGAAATCCCTCTCATTCTTTAAATGAGGCTTGTCTATTATTTATTTTTGAAAAAAAAAAATGATCTGCTGTTACCTTGTTAGATGCAGAAACCCTTTTGATGGATGAGACAGCTTAATATGATAAATTTCAAGTAAGTTTAAATTACTTATAAATTAGTGTACTAGTTAGTATCCTTTTAAAAACCATTTAGTGGGCAATTTTCTTCACTAATGCATTAATTTCTTTGTAGGCACTTATTAATAGTTATTTAAATTTTTCTTAAACTAAACATAAGCCATGAAATATAAACCAAAAGCAATTAAATTTGAAATCTTATTTTACCTCTTTTGCATAGGTCTGAAACTACTCTCACTTAAAAAATTCTTGCCCTTTTCAGTTTGTCTTTAGGAGCCTAACGTACCCCTGCTCATCCAGACTGCATGTTTCATTCTGTCCATGGGCTCTAGATGGTGCTAGAAGCAATTGTATTTTTAATAAATTCAACAGATTTCCTTTGTCTTCTTTTTAGTGTCATGCCATGTCCCTTGCTCACTGACTCAGCCTCCTCTATTCCTTCTCCACTTCACAGTGCTTGAATAGTGGTTCTTTCAGATACTGCATTCCCTTTTGTAATTAGAGGCAGTGTTTCTACTGCCATATTTTTTTCAATCTTTTATCCCATTACTTCTGTCCATCCCATTCTCCATAGATACAACTACAATCAATGCTCTCTTCCACAGCTCTGTATACTATCATGCTACCTGCTCTTTTTAAACAAGCAACAAAGCATCCAGGAAGGACTCAGCAGCCTGGATGCTGATTGTGCAATACCTTTACAGTGCAGTTGTGGTGTTAGCATACCATCTGAGCAATTCAAACTCCGTGCCCTAGTTGTACAGCTGTTTAATGTTAAGTATTGCATAGCCCTCACTATGTAATAAACCTGGACTCTGCAGCAATGAATATTTAATTCTGCTAACTGATACTAGCAGAAAAAAAATAATCAGCAGATAAAACCCAGAATGATGTTCAAGTATTCTTGACATTCTCCCCCCACCTTTTTTTACACTAGACTTAATGTATTTTTAAAATGCTGTTGTATGCCATCTTAGCCTCTTTATTTTCTGTTTTAAAATTGGATTGTGGTATGTTTGATCTAAATTACACACAATTGTATTCCTTAATTTTTTGTTACCTCATTACTCTGGAGGATATCATAAAAGGACAGGCTTTGCATTCGGTACCAGCAGACATATGAAATGGAAACAGGCCGCTGATCACTGATCAGTCCAGCAGGTAGGGAAGAACAGTCACTGACAGTTAGAGGATCTTCTACCACAAGAAAGACAGAAAGGAGGGAGAAACATAGGAAGAGAATAAACGATAATGCTTAAGTGAAAACCATCCACAGAGTGATATGAGCATGAATGGTAACCTGCCAAAGATGGGAACAGCTATGTGACTGAAGATGTATGCATACACGATGGCATGTGTCTCTAGATTGTTTAAGTCTCCATTGTTCACTAGTAACATTTTAAGTACGGGGAGGAAAAAGTAGTGCAGTGAAGAGTTTACCCTGAAAACAACTAAATATTTCATCATTGAAATTAAGAAAATTAAGAAAACTGTGTACATATGGGGGAAGATTAACAAATGCACGGAAGTTACCATGCAAGTATTAAACAGTGTCTTGGCTTGCCCCACACTCAGCTACATGCAGTATATTACCTGATATATCACCTAATCACTATATGATATACGTAGGGATCAGAATCAAGTTCTTGTGATTCTTTTTTTTGGGGGGGAAGGGGACGGTAGATGGGCTAATTGCCCCTTGGGGAGATTTCTAATACAAGGACAACAGTATCAAATCAAATTTCTGGTATTTCAGTCCCTCTGCTCCAAAGTAGGTCTAGAAGCAAATAATGTTATCTTTAGCCCTATTTTTTGAAAGTTTGAACATTAGCTATAACTCTATTCTTATAAATTGAAGAACACTGAAGACATTGCAGATAAAGTGTATGCATAGTATCTGCCCATAGGTCATCATAAGTAGCACAACCTATAGGCATTCTCCAATGAAATGGATGCTTTAGAGCTGCCTTACAGGAGCTAAACCAATTTACAATCTACTTAAGTTTTCCCTATTTTCTTTGAGCATCAATATAATGTATTCTTAACTAATTTACACTTTCTGCTCTCCTTTGGAGTAAAAGTTGAAAGAGAATACCTGAGCAGAAACATACCTCCTTTTTAAATTAGTCACAAAACTCTTAAATCATATTTAAGACTTGAAAAAAAGGACTTATTTAGATTTCAGCTATTTTAAGTGTAATAATTCTAATGCCAGAGGCCTTTCTAGTTAGTATTCCCATGATTCCTAACATTTTGTATGAAATTGGTTTAGCTGTAATCAAAATAAAAATCAGATTGTTTTTTCTGTGAAGTGGAAAGTGCAAATAAAAAATAAGGCAGAAGAAAATAAGCCATGAACACTTTAAGGTCCTAGAGAAAGATGGCTAAAGTAAAGAAAGTATGTTAGTATAGACAACCAAGAAACAAGGCTGCAGATTCCAGAGACAATGTCCTTTCAGCACTACTAAGTCATTAATAGGTATTAGCAAGCAAAAATATTCAAAGGGAGTTTTCTTTGGTGTGATCTGAAAGTTTATTTAGACTTTCAAAATCAGGCTATTTTGTGAAATTAGAATGAAATTAATTTTAAATGATCAAAGTTTACATTTTTGCCAAGCTATTGTTATATGGCTGTGGGAGGATTGCTAGCAGTCGTGTAGAAACTCCAAAAACCAAATAAAGAGGCTGTTGAATTTAATGAGAAGCCTCCACTATCTAGAGTAAAAAGAAAATTGTCACTGAAGAGACATTCTCTGGAGCTGCAGTTCAGATTGTTCTGAGGCAGATACCTCCACAGCAATACTAAAGTCGATCATTGAAACGCTGGTATTTCTGTGCCAGCAGACGTGCACCGTAGTGTTGCCACGGTGTGGTGACTGACGTTCAAGTGAGGTGCGGGATGCACTGAGATCGTCCTCTGATTCCTGGTCTACAGTAGTTTCATCTGGAGACTCTATGAAATTCAGGGAAAAAGCATCTTTCTTGCAACATAAATGATTGATAAAATTATTAAACATGAAGGTCCAACTCTGTTAAGTGGTTTATATTTTCACAATTCCACGAACAGATTTTAGTTAACGCTCTTCTATAAAATAACAGGCTTACCCAGAGGTTAAAAAGGGCAACTTTGTATAAAAGGCTAATCTATGCAATACTCATTAAGGTATTTTACTTTGGTTCTAACTCAATTTTTATTCATGTTCTGAAATAGAACTTCTCTAAGACCAGCACTGCTGTATAACATGTCCTGCAGTCATGGTGCACAAGAAAGTTTCACAGTCCCTTAACTTAATTTACGTTTCACTGCTATACATTTGAATTAAAACAAGAGGACCAGAAATACTGGTAACTTCAATAAAAAGCATTAAATTGGAACCTGTATCTGATTCTAAGGTATTAACCTGACTGCAACCTCAGCCAGCAGATTTCATAACACTGGGGTAATGTGATACAGCAGCACTGTATTTAAAGGAGTGTCTTCTCCATGACATTGAATTTACTGACTACTGAATAAAAAGCTCCTCTTGATACACTACTTACTATTGTCAGGTGGACTACTAGCCAGTAATTCAGGGGTGGGACCACTGCTTTTCTCTGCCAGATCTATCGCCATCTGTATGTCCTCAGTCCATTTGTCCATTTCAGCACGGGTACTAAGAACAGAGATTCAGGTTTTATTCACTTTAAGCCAAACTGAGAGGCACTTCAAAAGCTAATCACAATTTGAGTTTGATACCCAATCTATTTTCTCATGTCTAAGTTTGTCTAACTAGGCTGTTTCTTCTGATTCTAAAAAGTTTGGTTTGAATAAAACAATCAGAGTTGCCACACAATATTCTAATTCACGGTTCTGTTTCTCTCAGATTTTTGGCAAGCCTATCTATTATTCATGTAGCAGAAAAGGTTTAAGAGCAAATTAAAATAAAATTCTGTTAATCTTTTATGTTCTTCCTGCACAAAAAGGCTGGTGGCATGCATTTTCATTGATTACCTTGCAGCAACAATAATGGACTGATGTTGACCTCGTAGCGTAAGACAATGAGGAACTCCCCATTCCTCTTCACTTTCTTCTATCTAGGAGACAATGGTTTGTACACCATAAAATTACATTAAGCCACAGATTGTAGGAAGTTCACATTTTATAGACTGAAACAGTGGAAGAGGACAGATGGGAAAATATACCAAAGATTCATCAACATAGAAACGGAGAAAAAAATGATAAAATAGCAGCTTATAAGAAGTTCTAGAGGGTTAGACAATGAGATAAATGAAGTGTAGTGGGTGGCAAGGAAAAGATCACTGTAGGATTGACTATTTCTCTCACTCAGCCTTAGATGCAGTAATTACCTCAGGCTGTTTTGTTTACTGAAATACAATCACTTCTCTTTTTTCACAGTCAGAACATTGAGACACAGAGAAGATAAGAAAAGAATTCTTTGACACATGCAAGACTGGAATTTCTGAAGAACATGCACTATGCTTGAACAGGGCCCTGCCACATATACACACAGTGCCTGCCTGGATTCCTGAAAATACTAGACAAAACTTGGAACATAACTGCAGTACTAGGGAAATTCCAGCAACAGTGGCAATCACACTTTGCCCTACGATCAGTAAATACAGACTTCCAGAAGTAAGGAATTAATGCAACCCAAAGAGTGGGATGAAATTAAAAAAAACCTCTCAAAGACAGTAACAGTTAAAAGTTCAGTACATAGTTTTCAAGCACATTTACAAAGAACACATTAAAAGAGGTGGTGATGAAAATGATAGCACAATTACAATATGTTCAGAATTTTTCTGCCAGCTTTCCAATATAACATGAGATGCTACTGACCATGCGTTAATAGACAGACTGTACTCAGTCCCAGTGTGGATGTGTGAGGCTGCTGCACAGGAAAAAGTATAAGGAATGGAGGACCCAAGCAAGAGCTGAGCATCAGCATACTCCTTTGTGTTCTCAGGTACTGTGCTAATCTAGTAGCATTACCAGGTCAGGAGTGACAGGGTGAGCCCTAAAGAGTGACAGGCCACCCAAGCCTCTTATAAGCTGGGGGCCTCCAGAAGGCATCGTGCAGCCTCAAAGTCCATTGCTGTTAAGGTGCATTTCTACATCTCTTATAATAAGGAAAAGTGCCTACAAGGCACAATACAACTCTTAACCTTTATCTTAGGCTACTAGCTACATTGATGCATCAACCTGGTATCCTAATCAGTATGCAGTGGTAGTCTCTTTATGTCCAAACTGCAGCAACAAATCCACTGCTAAGTGGTAGACACGAGAGCATCTGCATCTACTGCTGCCTCTGCATGTCAACCTTAAACCCGAAAGCATCTCTAGGGCTGACATGGCCATTTAGGCCCAGATTTACCCCTGCTGAAGCTAAGTATGATGATGATTTTTGTGGTGAACCCACTGGTAACTTGATGGAGGTAACCAACACTTTTCAGATAAACCACAAAATAGCCACCAGATAGAGGTAACAGTCTGCACCACTCTGGAGTGGGAGTCAAACTAGTGATAAGATACAAACTCCATTAAATCCCCAAGACACTGAATTCCCATGGTTGTGCTATACTTACTGTCATGCCATACAGGGGGAGCTGTCCATGGACTTTAAATTGATTTGATGCTGTCAGGCCTCTACTTGTGTACAACAAAACATCATTAAACTAAAAAGCAAGAATGATCATTATTTAGAGGAACAGTAGTATGTTTGAAGAGGAAAAACTACAAAGCAAGGTCAAACAGTAACAATGGGACAGTACAGGGATGATGTTTATATGAGGGCCCTAATATTTAGGGGACTATCACCTGAATTCAAATATCAGCTCCCACACAACACTCCCAGGATCACCCCCCTTCCCTAGATGATCTCCTTCTGCAACTGGTGCCAGGAACATTCCCCCAGCTCCTTGTTTATTTGAAGCTCTCTTCTGGGGTCTGGGAGTGACCACGCGCATTTAGGGATCTCAGCCCCTAAAATGCTAATAAATCAATGCACTGAAGTTAGAAATAGTGTTTGCTGGTCTGTATGGATCAGAGAGCTTATGGTGGATAGTCTGCTTCCTGAATACGTTTACTCTAATTTATAAAGGAGCAAGCTTATCAATCAGCCCCTTGCTAGGAAAGATGAGCATATCAGTCCCCAAAGAGGGCTTTCCCTCTGAAGACATCTGATTGGCCATTATTCTGGAAATTCAGGAGCTGGCTGATAAGCTTGCTTTCCCATAAATTGGAGTCAAGGCACACAGCCTGCCCACCATGCCTCCTAATGTTAAACGCTGCCTACCACCACCTCACCAAAATTTGTGCCAAACAAACATATTTTCTTGCATGCCACAGTACAATTGATCGATTATTAACTGTACAGTATTTTAAAATGTTTTCTCATTGCTTTAACCAAACTGCTTTTAAAAAAAGGAAACTGATTAATCAAATTTTATCATATTCAATCATAAAAATCCATGACATTGAATCCTGGACTTATAGATCCCTCCCTCTCTGCCACTAAGCTATAGGAATAATTTATATCCTCCAGGTAGATTGTCCACTAGCGGAAGTCTTATGCACACTTTCCCAATAGGTTACATCTGCGTTTCTCAAACTGGGGGTCTTGACCCCCTGGAGGGGTCGTGAGCAACTTAGCGGGGGGGGGGGGGCGCAGTATCACAAAGTTTGAGAACCCCCTCAGAATACCAGAGATTAGGGTTCCCAGTTTCTACCCAAGCTTCAGAGGGGTGCGTGTGGTGCAATGGCTAAAGACAGGCAGAGTAGATGAATGGACTATGCCTGGGTCCGCCATACTAGAGACTTAGATTTTCTTATCAACTCTGCCTGAAGTGACTTGGTGTATTCTCTTTTTATTTGTACAAGGCCTTTATTGATCAAATCCTCATATCCCAACCTCTACAGGGCTGTGAAATGCAAAAAAGCATACACACATTGCTAGAAGTTACATTTGGTCCAATGGATTCCCACCTCTTTATTTTTGCCATAGATTGCAGCAATATTGGTGGATCTGTCTTGGCCTGATATAGGAAATTCTGCATTTTGTTAAAACATTGAGTACATGTAAGAACTCTGCCACCCTCTGTTACCACACTTTTTAAGCAAGCAGGGCAAGAATGCATTCCTCACTGTGCCACCGCACTAATTCCTTATGGTTCTGAAGTTGCGATGTCCCATAGCACTTTGGGCCATTAGGAAAGGCCACTAGCCCAGTGCAGTCTCTTGGATGTCTGAGTCCCAATACATTAACAGGATAGTAGCAGCAGGATTGGGACAAATGTTTCCCAAAGACCCTAATATGGAGTAGGTGGATTTAAATCTATCCAGTCACATGGGAGCACCCTCTGGTCACCATCTGAAAACACAGGAAGTGATGGTAGGAGGGGCTAATCTCTACAAGTGTTATAATCTCAAAATGTAGCTCCAGATCCAATAACTTGATGGGGAGTTAGATATGCCATATGGAGAGACCTGGCTCTTGAAAGGGGATTTGCTGAAATGGATAGGATTATGGTGAGTTTTCCTTGGTCTCACCAAGGGTGACTATCTTTCTGGTTTGAACGTAAAGTATATGCACAAAGAGCCCAGGTTTGGCATTATTTTATAAGTAAATCAAATAAATAAGTTTCATTTTTATAGGAATCAATTATAATATTGGAAGGGCAATATGAATTCTTGACAAGCAGCTCTGGCTGTTCCTGTGTTCATTTAGATAAGACTATTTAAAAATGTGTAAATTTATTTCACAGTTCAAGTCTAACACCTTCCCTAACGAAACTCTTATAGCTTTTTTTTTTACACAGTTGTACTTTATTATGTTCAATACAGACTGTTCTTGTAACTTACCAAGAAGAACATCCGCTGCTGTAAACCCTTTCCAGACAACTTACTTAGACTGCCCAGTCTAATGAACTCCTGTAGAAAAATAGACATAAAACAATCATGTCAAATATCCCTTTTCAAATACTTTGCCAAAGTCTAAACGCTTAGTGCCATGGAATTGGCTTGATCATATAATTTCACAGGTTATAACAATCTAAAGGGGAATCTTCCCTACTTGACATCAGTTGCTCCAGACACCTCTCTCTTCCTTTAGTTTTGAGTTAAGAGAATATTACAAATCAAACAGTTGATTAAAATAAAAATGTCTCTGTTTATTCACCAGCATCTGGCCGCCACCTCCTTCAAATATAACATTTAATGAAGTATATGTCAACTCAAAGGGCCATGGACAAACATTTAAACCAGACTGTTTCTTTGCCTTGATTTTTCCTTCAGAACGGCTGCAAAGAAACTAAGAATTCTTTTTCAATAATACTTTTCCTCTTAGCATCTTCACAACAACTGCTTCCAAGAGGCTGAGGAACAGCCATCCTCAGCCCCAATCCCTATAGGATTTGCTGGCCGAACAGGTGGTTACTGCAGCCTTCCTGAGTCCCACAATCTTTTGTGGTGACTGCAAGAGCTGCCCCTTACCCCACCCTCCCGGGGGAGCCACCTAGCACAGTGCCTTCGCAACAAGATTCCAGCGGGAAGTGGACAGCCATCCTGATATTTCATTTGGCAAAACAACCCCTTGCTCCCCATTACTCCACATTGCCTGCTATCCCTCTTCCCACACTCCGACACTGTACTCAGCGAATCCTGTTCGTGATGCCAATTGTCAACTTGCAGAGACATGGACAAACAGGATTATGGATTTGCTTCAACACAGAGTCGATTAGGGATAGTTGCTTTTATTAATCTCACTATGTCACTACTATTACAGGGTTAATACTGCCAAATGCTTACACAGCTACTGCAAAGTGATACATCAATAAGCACAGGCAAAGCAATGCATAAAAAGAGTAACAGATACTTAGAAATGCTTACACCCCTTCAGTCTGTAGGGAGTCCCGTTCCTGTCAGACATAGCTCCAGCTGGGGGAATCCAGGGCACCCTCTGAGATCTAGGTCCCTGGTGAGACTCACTGGACATGGGATTCCCTATACTAGTTGTACTCCAGTTGTTTACCAGGTGTGCGCGTGCTGGCTCAATGCCACTCTCAACATTCTTATGAGCTGAGACTGAGGTCAAACATGTTTACCGCTTAGTAGTTTCCCAGCTCAAGTGCATGGGTCAAAGCTGATAAGGGCCAGCTGCTGTTTGTGTTTACAGACTCCAAGGTCCTACCAGGCTGTGTACTCCAAGGATGGAAACTTCCATCCCAGCCTGCTAAGCTGCAGGCCCCACATATTGGTTTTCATATGACAGCATACGGATGACTTGGCTCTTGCTCTAAGCATAACATAAGAACATAAGAACGGCCGTACTGGGTCAGACCAAAGGTCCATCTAGCCCAGTATCCTGTCTACCGACAGTGACAAGCACCAGGTGCCCCAGAGAGGGTGGACCGAAGACAATGATCAAGCGATTTGTCTCCTGCCATCCCTCTCCAGCCTCTGACAAACAGAGGCCAAGGACACCATTTTATCCCCTGGCTAATAGCCTTTTATGGACCTAACCTCCATGAATTTATCCAGCTTCTCTTTAAACTCTATTATAGTCCTAGCCTTCACAGCCTCCTCTGGCAAGGAGTTCCACAGGTTGACAACACGCTGTGTGAAGAAGAACTTCCTTTTATTAGTTTTAAACCTGCTACCCATTAATTTCATTTAGAAATTAATGAAGCACAAAGTCATCTAAAGGAATCAGTTACAACAGTGGGGAAAGGGGGAGATTTGTCTGGCAACAAGAATTCTCCTAGACAGGCAGTGCATTTCATGTCATGTGATATGGCACATCCACTTAGACCAGACTATTTAAAAAAAAAAAAACATGGTAAACTCAGGAAGAAAAAGCTCACTCCCAGTGGAACTGAACTATCAGAGAGCCCGGTTTTCTGGGATTATTGTGAGTTGCATAGTTCGCTGTTTTGAACTATGGAATAATTCCCTTTTCCACAAATAAAAATAAAAGCTTTATAAAAGCAAATACAAGTTTTAACTTCCCGTCACTCTCTCTAGCCTCTTTCAGGCAGTCCCTAATCCCTAATGAGCTCTGTATGAACTTTCAGAGGCCAATATCCCCTTGTGTGCATTGTACAAGTGAAAGCACACAAGTACTAAAAGCAGCAGGACAGTCTGCAAAGCACCAATAAACCACCTCATGGAAAATTCCCCTTGCCAGGGGAACACTACACTTTACAGAGAGTTGCTGTTGCTTGTATACCTATCTTGGGGACTTTTGACAGTCACCACAGAATCTTTATGATTATTAATAATAAATATATATAGTGATGCTGCCCAACAATCACCACCTGTCTGAGCACTATTGAGTTTGGTATTGTACAATCTCTAAGAGGAGACAGTTACTACCCCAAAACAGCAATCTGAAATTAGACCAGACCTAAGAATGTTTTACTCTCCAGTAGGCATTGTTGCAGAACGACAAAATGACTACGCTTGCATTCCTTGAAGGCAGCTCAGATATGACCTGGGATTGGAAGCATAATCTCTAATGTGTGCTTTGCCACTGCTAACCAGCAACTGTAATCCACAAATCCGGTGAATGAGAAGCACATTACCACCCTCCCGCAGGCAACTGCACACAACCACAGGTAATAATTTTCTTCAGCATTAAGACTAAGTCCCAGCCAACAGGTTAATCACATGGGTTAAGAGAATGGTGAAGGGAGGAGAGGCAGCACCCACCTAAACACATGCCAGAGGGGGGCAAACAAAACAGCTCTATAACTTGACATGCAAAGAATCTCTTCCCTGTCTGCTCTACTGCTTAACTCCGTGCAGGAGGAAGACAGCATTGAAGTGTACTACATCCCTGATTTTCTTTTCTCTGTCCTTTGATGGAATGGGGCAACAAAAAGTGAAATTGACATTTTGTCCATTTCAGTTAGTAGTTATGCTGCACATGGAGTGAAATATGTTGAGAGACAGGAGAGAGTCAGAGAAGAGCAGCAGGGCTGCAAAGCACTGAAAGGAAAGAACAAATGATGATCATTACACCAGAGATTAGAAGGGGAAGAAAACGAGACAAATGGGGAACAAAACAAGCAGCCAAGAAGCAATAACAGAATAAACAAGAAAAGGGAGATGAAAAAAGACCCAAAATGAGGGCTTTCTTACAGTGATCCAGACTTTGGCACCACACCATTTAACATGGACTGGAAAAGTCATAGACACATGAGCTGCTTACACATGCAGCAGTCCATCTTGCAGTTAAGAAAGGCCAGAAGGAGCACAGTTCATCAGTGCTCTATACTGCCTCTCCAACCCATTGCACCTCAAAGTCTCTGTCTTAGTCTGTAATCGTAAATGGTTAGAACCTAGTTAGCACTAAGGGCTACTTTTCTTCAGCACACCACCTCAATAGCAGACACGGACACATTATACCTGATGGTTCCCAGGTGGAAACTTGCAGGGGGCTGCTGGATGCTGGAGGAGAGTGAAGGGTGTTCAGCTATGGGATTCTGTACTGCCAGGATAAGCACATGTCTTATCACATTTAGGACACATGCAACACACATCCCTTTGTGCCAGCTTCCCCTCAGTAATGAGGATGGAAGAATGGCCTGGCAATGTCTTTCCTAGAAGATGACAACCATCAAAACTGGCCTTTGCAGTGATGCAGTAATTAAAGGAAAGGAGTGGGGGGGGAAAAACACCCCTTTGACAGAGACAAGATGAAACTCTTAATTTTGTGACTAGTAGATAGATACCACAGATAGACTCAAATCAGCAGGCAAAAGACAGACGTGAACTATGCTCAGAAATCACAGTGATGGGCACAAGAATCGGAGTAGACTAGGAACAGTAAAAAACAGGAAGAGAATTAAACTGAAACAAAGGAGAGAAATTCCCATGCTTTTGTAACATTAATAAAAATATTTATTTAGAAAAGCTTGTATGAAACAAGAACTTAGAAATGATCTTATCATGTTGTATGGGGACTGCAGAGACAACTGCCCCCAGAGTAACATGACACCCTGATTCCTGGAATCAGTGATTGCCAGCATGGAAGAGGTGAGCTCCTCCAGCACAAACAACTTGCCGTTTCTTAAGCTACTCTATGTTCTTGAACTGAGGTTTAAAAGTGACAGCAACAAATTAGAGGAAATCTGCAGCTATTCAAGCGGCAAATACTGTGCTGAGCATTATAATTAGGACCCCACCAACTTTACAGTCCAAGTGGGTAAAAATCATAAATTTCACAGTACTGTAACTGTGAGGGTCTCAACGCAAAATATGGTTGTGGTATTGCCACCTTCTTTAGTGTTGCTATCTTCACAGCTGGGCAGCCGGAGGGCAGTGGCTGGCCAGGCACCCAGATCTGAAAGCAGCATCACCCAAGTGCGGAAGAGTGGCAATATCATATCATATATGCCACACACTCTTCTATGCTGCTGCTGGCAGCTGTGTTGCCTTCAGATCTGGGCTCCAACAACTATGGAACTTCCTGCATCTTTCTAACCGTGGGGCACTTGCAAAGGAAGAAGCAGCCCTGCCCCTCTTTAGCTCCTTCAGGATCAGCAGCAGGAGTTAAAAGTGTGTGTGTGTGTGGGGGGGGGAGGTCCTCTGGAGTTCTCTGAAGTTCCCCATCAAAGTGATAACCCCCCCATGCCACCTCACTTCTGTGCTGCTGGTGGCTGGGCTCCCAGCCAGAAGCCAGTACTCCCAGCCAGCTGCCCAACTCCATGAAAACTCCCCTACAATCGCCAGATTTCACTGGGGGAGATCAGGTTTCATGGTTCAGGACGTGTTTTTCACAGGTCTTCATTATATTATTACCACCTTTGTTCCATTTGATGTTCTAAATTGCCTATAAGAATCTAAACCAGAGAAAATAAAGCCCAAAAGAACAAAGCAGAAGAGGCAGATAAGAAAGAGGACTGTTTCCCTCTTCTTTTACAATCAGTATGTTTACTCTGACACTATTATATATACACATTTGATTTACTTTTACTGTCTTTAGTGAAGGAAAGAAAATGCATACTATGGCTACAGGATTTAATAGCTGATCTGGCCAAGGGGATGAGGCAGAGAAATTTTACAAACTGTGACATAAAAAACAAACAAACAAACCCACAGATTTTTAAATCAGACCTTGTATTCCAAAGCTATTTTGCTAATAGTTTCAGAACCCGATATATTTCTCTTAAGTGAAACTCTGTCACTTACCCTTCCTGGGATCACCAGATTATCAATGCCTATTAAATCTTTCTTGAGTTCATGCAGCTTCTGAAAGTTCTCCATCTTTATCATACTACCATGGAGCTGAGCCACCATTTCAGAAATTTCAGCCAGAGCAGCTAGGTAAGTAACAACAAAGATATTTTTAATGCTCATATCAGATTTACAAGCAGATACATAATATTTATTCCATCTGTGGTATAAGGGTCACTCATAGCACCTGCCCAACAAGACTTATAATTCTTCCTCTCTAGTGTAAGGCTACTCTAATTGGCTTAAAATTGAACATACAAATTCAGAAGGTTCTTTTACTGAGTGTGACCGCTTTGAAAAAAAGGTAGAGGCAATCACCTTGGACAGAAGCCTGCTTTTACCTTAGCTTTCCACTGGCATTCCATATTTTAGACCAGTCTTTTTACAGTATTGGTTTTCAAGGAGAATCAACTCATAGCATTGATAAGAGAATGAACGTTTAAAAACAATACCTGGGGGCTCCACAACTATGAGAGGAATTTCCTTTTCCCATCTAGGGAGAGCTATCTAGAATTCACACCTTGGTAAAAAGATTTAAACGTGCTTACATTTGCAGGCAACCAAAAACCCAGAGACAGGCATGGGGGGGGGAGGGGAAGGTTGGTGTGTGTGTGTGTGCGTGTGCGCCGAATTTCTTTAAAAATACATCTAAACTACATTCTCCAGTAGTGGAAACAAGTGTTTTGGATGGCTGCCCAGAAGTAGAATCAAACGCTCAATTTTAAGAGAGATGATATAATATCCCTGAACAAAACTTACTTGTCAGAGACTGCTCTTAAGGACTCTATAACACTATCAGTGCTGAAGTACCAGTACTACTGATGGAGACAGCCCCACCCTATTCCATCTCATTTAAAACATTTGTTAAATCATTAGAGTTAAATATTAGGTCCTTTTCTAATCTATTTTTCTAATCTATATCCTTTTCTAATCTATGTTTAGTTTGGAAAAAAGAAGATTAAGAGGGGACATGATAGCGGTTTTCAAATATCTAAAAGGGTGTCACAAGGAGGAAGGAGAAAATTTGTTCCTCTTGGTTTCTGAGGACAGGACAAGGAGTAATGGGCTTAAAGTGCAGCAAGGGAGGTTTAGATTGGACATTAGGAAAAAATTCCTAACTGTCAGGGTGGTCAAATATTGGAATAAATTGCCAAGGGAGGTGGTGGAATCTCCCTCTCTGGAGATATTTAAGAACAGGTTAGATAGACATCTGTCAGGGATGGCGCAGACGGAGCTTGGTCCCGCCTTGAGGGCTCGAGGTCCCTTCCAGTCCTATGATTCTATCAGTTCCTATCTCTCTCATCAGTCTAAATAGCTTCGACACAGCTCATGGAATGCATCTCCCTGCCCATCTGGGAGAATCCCGATATTTAGAAACGTGGTGAAATGGTTACAGGTTTTTATTTCTATAACCACAGTCTGTAAATCAAAAACCTGTGTTTGCCATACCTCCAGCAATGATAGAAATAATCTGATCAGTGGATTAAAGTGCAAAATTATTGTTGTGCTTTATTATCATCCCTACTCCTGTGTTCTCTGCAAGGACTCCAACACCCATCAGATAATGGTTGAACTGAAAGTGTAACTGGGCACATGGTTTCAACCACTCTCAAATAGTTATAGCTCTATGCTAAAACGGGGGATTTTTAAGAGAGTCAGTTTTGCAGCAAAGGATTTCTGCTCTATAATAAAGACAAAGATTTAGGGTGGGATTTTTTAAAAGCACCTAATTTAGGAGAAAAAAAAAATCCATGGAAAATCACATGTAAAGGCCAAGGAGAAAAAGGGGTGGGGAATCAAGTCCTCATGAGCAAGAAGCAAAAGCTGGGCAAGATGCAAAGATCATGGTGGAGCCTCAATCACTGAGCATTTTAAAATCAAAACTGGATGTTTTTCTAGAACAGGAGAGGGGAACCGTTTTTGGATCGGAGGTCGCTGACCAATAGAAAAATCAGTGGACGGACACACACACGGACACACACACGGACACACACACACACACAGCAAATTAAATAAATAAATACAAATAAAACCCAACGAAAACCAAAACCCAGTGGTCTCTAACTGAGAAGGAGAAGCCCTGATCCTTGGGGGCTGGAACCAGGCAAGCCAGATGCCACATCCGGCCCCCAGGCCTGTGCTTTTCCACCCGTTCTACAAAATATACTTTAGAACTTCCACAGGATGGTTCCTATGGCCTGTGTTCTACAGGAGTTCTGACTAGTGGAACCCTTCTGGCCTTGGAACTGATGAATCTATGAAAACCTCAAACAGAATCTTTTTACATTTGAGAAAAATATGACATCAGCTTTGAACACCTAAAGCAAACCATGGAAATGGCAATAAAACAGGGTTCATGTCTGGAAAAGGAGTATGCTGTCATGCATACGTGGAGGCAACCCTTAATTCTGATCTTTCTCGGCTTTGGAGAGCTTAACTCTGCACAGTAAAACCCTTGTAATGTAGTTTTTGGATGCATTATTATTTATACTAGTGATCAGAATGGGGGACTAGACATCAAGAGATTGTACACTAGTCCACTAAATTGTTCCTCCCCATTCACCTCTGGAGTCTCTGAAGTCCACATGGTTTGGTGGGTAGTGTTTGCAGAGCCTTTCCATTATCTGCTTGTAGTGCATGAGCCTGTGCAAAGGTCGGAGCAGGAAAGTGTTGAGGGGCAGGTAGCAGACTTTCTGTAGCTCAAAGTCCTTGCACAAGGCCTCCAGCTTTCTAGAGTTCTTGATCCCATTCTCCAACTCCATCAAAACTTCATTGTGTTTCCGCAGGTGAACTGTCAGTTGCTTAAAAACAAACAGAAAAGAAAAGAAGCAGAGACATTAGCAAAGGCACTGCACTTACAGGCTTCAAAGCCATTTCATCCAAATGTTCCTCTAATAAAATCTAGCTAATATTGTTACAGCTGTTTGCAACACAATCACCTTCTCTGGGAAACATTAAAGTTCTGCCATTAACCAACAAAAGAAATGATGGACAAATCCCACCCTGTCCAGACTTTCATCTTTTGTACCAATTCTTCCCTGACCTTCTCTGCATCCCCTGTAAAATAAACAAACCAAACCCAATCAAGACAGTTTAGCACAACAGCCAAGAAATTCAAAGTTACATATACTACACTCATGCTGTGCACACATAACAGGGATGAATAACAGCATGGAGTTAGGAAACAAATGTACCCAAGAGGACACAGATAATTGGACATCCAACTGGCACTGACCTTCCCACCTCCTTAGGCCCCTATCTGTAACCAATTGGAATTCCAGGTTAGGTTAATCTATTCTATTAAAGAGCATCTACAGCTCCTGGAAAACTCTGAACTCATATACACAGATACAGGTGCATTCCATGTTGAAACACCTGTGTTACAGCACTTCCTATTTTTGGTTCCTGAGTTATCATTTCATCCACATAACACTAGGTGGGCAACTTCAGCGGTGATGTAAGATGGAGATGTGAAGTGAAGTAGAAGAGTGTTAACTTCCATGCTGACTGGGTGGGTTTCACAGCATGGCTGGCCCCTGTGAATTAACAAAGTCCAGATACCATGTGCCAGAACAAGTGCTCACAGTGTGACCAATTAAGACAGCGTGCCAGCATTTGGGGGTGTTAAAATAGGTCAGGGAGTCCCAGTGAGTCACAGCAGAAGGGCAGGTGAGAGCTGCCAGAAACCAGGGGACTGGAGAAGTTGGGGAAGGAAACAGAGGGCAGGAAACCACTAAGATGGGTTTACTCACTGACATCTCCAAGTTTTAGAGCAAGGCTGAAAGGCTGAAGACAGGAGAAACAGAAGCAGAGAGAACTGCCTGTTGGTGCAAAGCCAGAGAACAGGGCCAGAGAGGGCTGAAGACGAGAGCAGTACATCAAAAGACAAAATGTTTTGTTTTAATGACTGCCTGTGCTCAGGTGAGAAATGGACTGCTTGGGACTAGATCACTGTAAAGAAACCGAGGCAGACTACACACCATGCTACAGCCTTCTGCTGGCGTGCTCCAGGCAGGGCAGTGCGAGAACAAGTGCTTATGACAGTGAGGTTTCAGCAGCTTCAGTCAGGTTGAAGCGGAAGGTTCATTTGACTAGCCAAGTTTCTGACTTACTTTTTAATGAGGATTTAAAACAAAATTAACCCAGGAGATTCTGTTACAGTTTGGCAATTGATTTTATTGATGAAACTCTTTGGGAGGAGCCAGCGAAGTTTCTAAATGAATAAATATACTGTTGTGGAAAATTAGGGGTAATTGATTCTGTGTATTGAACTAACTTCAAAAGGCAAGATGGCTTAGTCTAAAGTTCATGTGGTGTTCGACACATATCCAGTGAATCCCCTACTCGTGATTTTGCAACAGCTTTACAGTATACACTAGTTTAATTGGTTCCTAGGCATGCTACACATTCATCCCACCGTCATAGTCTGACAGACAGAAATGCTGAATGAAAAGCAACCCTCCTTGGCTACTATGGAGGTTGCAAGGCAATTATGAATTGTATTTAAAATTTCTTCCCAATGTTAACTAAGCTGGCAAGGTCAATTTATGGGTCTTTTAAAAGGTCTGGTGCTAAGTGTGAGATTCTTAACTCCTTTTTCCTTTCTGTCTCTTATTTTGTCTTCTTTGACACAAACTAGGTTTTGATTCTTTTCTCTGAAGGCTGCAATCCTTCTCCAGAGCAATGTCAAAGGAGGACTGTAGGGCACCAAAGAACAAATAACTTGAGGTTAAAGACACCAGGTGAATAAAGCAGAGTTCTCTCTAAATATAAGTTTACTAACAGCTCTTTAGGAAAATAATTACACTTACTGGGAATAAGAGACAGGTGCTATGATTTTTCAAGATATCAGATATCAAGCAATCAGAACCTGTCTGGGTGAACGAAACAGTATATGGTAGGTTTATTGATGGAAGGTCTGTCAGTGACAAAGCTGCCTATTAGCTAGGGCAGTGCATTGAGTTCTGTTTTCAGCCTTGTCACCAATTTGCTGTGGGACCCGTAGCATGGCACTTAACCTTTCTGTGTCTCAGATTATCTGTCCCTAAAATTAGGCTAGCACTATGACAGACTGACAATATCCAGGACAGACGTAATGGCATTAAAAGATATATTGTTGTGAATTAAGTTAAATCTTATTGCATTAGACCTAATATCTTTGGGGTCCATTGTATTAAAATAGCAAATGGTGCATGTGTTATTACAGATTTGTATGTGAGTCCTCAAGGAGGAGGAAGGAGGTTGCTAATGTAAATCCTCAGTTATCAGCTCTTTGAAGCTACCTTCCCTTTCCCCCTTGGAAATGTGCACACGTACTAGCTCATACTAAACTCTCCGGGGACCCATAGACTAGGAAAGGATTCTTGGGTCAACAGCTTCGTTTAAAACAGGTTTGGGACCTTTCTTCTGATCCGGCAAATGGACTGGGCTCATGGTCTACAGAGGACCCCAATCCTTAGGGAAGGTTTGAAAGGATTGGGCCTAATGAGGTCTCAGATTCAGCTCATTAAGTACACAGTCTTATGAGAGGACTTGAAACCCCTTTAGATTGGGTTTGAAAGGATGTTTCAGCCAGAGCCCATGTTGGGGTGAGCTGATTGCTGGTGAACTTTTTAGCATGCATGTAGGTTCTTGTAGTCTTTTTAATGTGTTTTGCCTGAGTTGCCTTTTCCTTAAGCATGAAATAGGCTTGCACCAAAGAGCTGTGTGGTAACTCGCACAGTCATACCATTAACTGTCTCTGAAGGGAAAACAAACTAGTGTGCTTGGGGAGTCTGTCACTTCCTGGAGTAATATAGCGAAGACAGGCGACTCTGCAACCTGGGGATATCTTGACAGAATGCAGAGAGATGCAGGTTTCCATACAAGAAAGGCAACAGCTGTGGAGCTAGAAGCCTGAGAACAGATGTATCACTACGAGCAGATAGAGAAACAGTTGCCCTGAATGGAGACAATCTGCACCTAATTGGGAGGAGTGACATGGGACCTTAGTAACCCCTTTTCTCTGCTCTGGAACTGAAGTTTGGTACTGCAGTGAGCAAGTGCAACAGAAAGGGGATTAATGAGCAGGAAGAGCCAGCTAATATCTGTAAAAGCTTTTCAAGATCCTTGGATGAAAGACCCTATGTAAGTCACTAGCTCTTTTGTCAGAGACACAATGTGGGAGAGGTAATATAGTTTATGGTTTTAAGGCCCAGTTTCTGTAGATGAGAGAGAAAAGCTTTCGAGAAGTCAGTTCAATAGAGATTACCTCACATGCCTTGTCTCTCCCATATCCTGTGATCAAAATGGCTACAACACTGCACATAGCTCTTTAGCCAAGCATTCTGCTATTACAGTGCTTACTCTGGCTAGTTAAGGTTAGATAGATAACTACAAAGCAATTTTGTGAAGAAGAAAAAAGGATATGCAATTACAGGACATGTGTGTTATTAATGTAAACGTGTTACTGGCCTAGACTGTAATGACTTCTCTGGTGTTCCCGCAGGTTTTTATGTAACTCGTATTACTTTTTTGTGCTGACCAGTAATATGCAACTTCCACAATGCTACTGAAGAAGTGCACTATATAAAAATAGTATGCAAAATCCTCCTGTGGCCCACTATAGGAAATAAAAGCATTGGATTGGCCTTTTTGTTTGGTTTTCAAAAAACATTACTGACTCTGATCTTTATTAAAAATATCAGCGTCAATCTGGAATCATAGAAGCACAAACAAAGTTTAAAAAAAATGGGTAAATATCCAGGACCAGCTTCACAAAAAGTCAGGTTTGCAAATGTGTGTCAAGTTGTTATATGTCACTGTATGGTCATTGCTTCTGCAATTGTCTTAATTGGAGGGATACCTGCATGCACAATTATCTATTCTGTGTTTTCAATCTCTACTTGCCCATAAAAAATGGCATCTCATTTTGTCTCCAAATCTGAAAGTTTATTGTGCTTGAAAATCTTGCTCCTGATTTTGTGAGTAATGCTTCTAAGGATTATATCCTTAAAATCAAATGCTTTCAATACTCAAACTCTGCCTAAACATTTAGAAATTCATTGAATGAAACCTTTTAAATAAAAGCTCACACAGCAGTCGAAAGCAGCACAAATGGCAGGACTATATTTACATGAAAAAAACACATTGATTCTAACCCATGCCAAAGCTTATTGGTTATAGGATCATTCTTACCTTCATACTCTGAATGTTCTTTAGCATAACATCACCAATTCTTTGGTAATCTCCTTTAATGTGAGCGTTGGAGCGGCCTTCCCTGTTAGCAACAGAAATATCAAAACTTCAGTCATGCAACATAATTGCATAATCATATGTAGAGCACAAAGAAACACAATTACTTACTTCTTTCAGAATCCTAAAATTCTATGTTCTTTAGCTCAAAAACCCATGAAGAAGTTTTTTAATGTACTGTTAATTCCCATGAAAAGAACATTATTCATTTAAATTGGCTTGCACTAGTAATATCAGAGAGGCTATGACCCCAACAAAACTTTCAGGATTTTAAGGAAAATTGCCAGTATTTTAAAAGCTCTAAATAGGGAAAGTTGGGGGCAGGAGGACAAACAGGGAAGATTTTAAAATGCCACTGCAGTTCATTGGGCACTGATTTTAAAGAGGAGGAAGATGATTTTGTTTGTTTGTTAAATATAAGTGTCACAGGGATCAAACCTATCAGTCTTCTTTTTTTCATATTTAAAAATAATGCAACCACTGCCCTAATTAGCCAGGATTCCCTATGACAAGTGCTAATGAAGGTTGCCACGGACACTCAGTTTGGGATAATTGTAACTCCTGGTGACAAAGGATTATTTGTTTCTAAATGTGTAAGAGATAGAGAGCTGGGAGGAGCACAGAATTAAAGGTGTTACACAGTCAGTCTTTCGCAATCATAAAATTACCAATTACTCCAGAGAATAGTGAAGGAAATTAATGAATTTAAGATTCTAATTTTCATTGTTCAAACCCTATCACTCTGAGCTGAACATAGACAGAAACAACCACCAGGAGGATGAGGGAAACACACACTGACAGCCTAGTGAAAAAAAAAAAAGAAGAGGGAACAAGTGTTCATCAGTGTCACGTCAATCATCTACATATTCTCAATGACCTCGGTGTTTTAAATGCTGAACTATGGAGTGCGAGTGTGAGGGTCAAATTCATCCCCAGGGTGAACATGTCTAATTCTACTGAAGGAGATGCAGAGACCAAAAAAAAGCAGAGATCTGAGATCTAAAATAAATTCAAAATTAACTGCAAATGATTGTACTCTGCTTTAAAACTAAAAGCTTGATTTTCATTCACTTGTCATTATTTATCTCATCCACAGACATTTTAGATTTTTACTTTAGAAAAATTCTATTCACATTAAAATGTGAACAACTTGTTTGTAAATCTTTGTACACCTTAACAAAAGGACTGTTGCCAGACATATTCTATAACTGAATTACTAGAAATGTGTATACAGCTAAGGGATTTATAGTACCCATAATAAAGAGAGAGAAAATAGATTTTTCATAATCCTTGTATTATAGCTGAAAGTACAAATATTCATGGACACTCAGTTTTGTAAAAATATATGCATTTGCAGATAATGGTATGCTGATTATTCTCTTGTGCATTCTTCTCTTACTGAAGAAAGATGGAGGATGCAGCATATAAAGTGGAATAGTAATATCCCACAGCAGACAAAATAGCTACAGAGGATGATGTTAAATTGCTTCAAGTTCATCTCAAGTGGCACTGAACAATATCGAGTGGTTTCATATGCTGTCTTTAATTATTTTCTTCTGTAGTAATGCTCCCCAGCAGTAGCTTCAAGCAAATGTGCTTATTTCAGCAGAGCAAGTACAGTTCATGACAAGATTATTTAAGTTCTTTGAAATCAGAAGTTACACTTGGATGAGAAATAAGATGTTAATCATATGTAAGCATGACTTCTAGTTACTTTACAGTTTGGCAAAAGCAGTAGTTTAAATAAGCAGCTTGTCTTTAGTTCTGTCTACTCAAAATGCATCTGATAGCTTGAGCTCCACTGCAAAAGATATTACAGGTGCATTAGCTGCTGGAGGCCAGACCCAAAGCCTAGTAACACTAATGTAAGGGCTTCCACTGACTTCCTGGGCTTTGGATCAGGTCCTTTGTGAAATACTTCACCAAGCAAGTTAGTGCCTTGCAGCCTAAAAGCTTATCCCTGTACAGCCCATGTATTCTGCCAAAGCTCTATTATTCAGTGACCTGGAACTATCCAATCTGTAGCAGGAGTCCTTCCTTTATAAACTTTCCCATCAGAATTGCCCAAAGCTCCTCTCAACAGCCTGGTGGTTTTCAAATCTTGCTGAATATCTCATGAGAACAGATGCTGTGTGGCAGAAAGGTGGGGGATTAATAGGACAGGTTGTCAGTTCCCTGTAAGTAATGCTGCCCAGCTGATTAGCAGCATGTCCACAACTAGGTTTTATGTTTCTACTAGTGATGCACATTCACACATTCGCACATAAAAAAAAACCCGTTTTGCCCATGGATGGAAAAAAAAAATCTGCACATGGAGGGGAAAAAGAGTAGAGGAAACCCATCCGTCCACCTGTCTGTCCATCCGTCCTGCATTTCTTTCCAATAGAGGCTGGCAGAGTGATGAAGGACTGAACTCACAGCAATAATTAAATAGGACTAAGCCAACAGAGATGATAATATCAGTTGTAGCTCACGTCCTACTAAAATGGAGAAAAGCCCTAGACTAAAGTAAAGTCTTACAGAGCAGGCAGGTAGGATGGCTCAGCATCCAGTCCCTAAACCTTGTATGGCCTTTTGGTTTGCAGCTTTCTCCTTCACAACTGTTAAATCTTCCACTGCAAAAATCAACATTGGCACAGGCAGGCAAGTGGTGATTTAAAAACAAAACACAAGTAAACCACCCGTCACCTTACAATCATTCGTGAGTCTGTGCTATCAAGATTCTAATAGTGTGCGACTCCTCCAAGAAATAACATTTCTAGACAATACAAGTAATTTAAACATTAATATTCACCACCTTATTGAAACCCTTCTAGATCCTGAAACCTGACATAATACCAGCACTTAGTACAACTATAACATGGGGTTTATAAAACGCTCTATTTCTTTATTTAGGTATTTATAACACCACGATACTGAGCACCTTGGAGACAGAAGCTGACCTCTCAGCTGCTAAATACACCATTAGTTTAGAGAAGGAAAGACTTTGAACGTTGCTCAGCAATGTTCATTTCCAAACTATTAGTATGCCCTGATATTCCTCAAGCTACTCTCTTAAATACTTCCTCTTCCTCCTAACAGGCTTCTCTCATTAGAAGGAAATTAAATCTGTAGAAGAAATTTAAAATTCTTCAGTATGAAACTGATTATTTAAAAAAATATAAAAGGACTATTATTTGAGCTCAAGTGCAGGTTTTTTTATGTTAAGTTATTAAACATATAGAGAATTCATCTACAATAGTTGAAGCAATTGAACCATTGTACAAATTAGGACACAAAGAGAAATCTATGTTTACCCAGAGTTTTAAAAAATAAGCACACACAAAACTTCTTGTCCTTAATTATATTAAGGAACAAAACAGAATAACAACAGTGGTATTGGGCTATTATTAGATACAAATGGTAGAGTTGTCAATTATACAGATAAGGCAACAATGTTCAATAAATGTTCTGTTCTATATTTGGGAAAAACCCAGATGTAGTTTTATCAAATGATGCTGATGAAAGACTAGCCATTTGAACAATAAGTTAGAAAGATGTTGAACTATGGCTACTGAAGCTAGACACTTAAAATCAGCAGGTCCAGATAACTTGAATTCAAGAGTTATGAAATAGATGGCTAAGGCTTTCTCTGGACAATTATTTTCAATATATCTTGTAATGCTGGGAAAATTCCAGAAGACTGGAAGAAAGATAATGTTGTGCCACTATTTTAAAAAAGTTAACAGGACAATTGAGGTAACTATAGCCCTGTCAGCCTGAAATCAACCCTGAGCAAAATACTGGAATGGCTCATATAGAACTCAATTAATAAAGAGTTAAAGGTAATATGATTTATGCCAATTAACATGAGTTTAGTTTTACAAGATCTGTTTCCCATAATTTGATAACTTTTTTGGTGAGATTACAAGTTTGGCTGATAAAAGATAATAGTGTTGATGTAATATATTTAGACTTCTGTAAAGCATTTGGCTTGGTATCATAAGATACATTGGAAGCTGAGAACAGGTTTGCTTGCACAGAGTAGGGCAAGGAGCTATGGGGCACGGGCTGGCTCCGGTGCCCGTGCAAGGTGCAAGCCTGCCAGCACCCAGCCAGCAGACCCTGCACCTGGCATGGATCGAGCCACCCACCCGATGCCCCCCAGCCCTCCCCCTCTTCCCGGGACCGGGCTGGCGGCTCCCGGGAGCTTGCCCGGGACCTCAAGAGGTGGGCACCCGCCTGGGCTAGTGCGGACATTGTGGACCTCGTCCACGATCTCCGCACTAGGCCCAGGAAAGTGGCCAGCTTGGGCAGGAGAGCTGCCAGCCTGGCCACCCAGGAGCAGGTCTGCAAGAGAATCAAGGGGGTCCACTGAGACCCCCGACCCTGAGCCCTGAGCTTACAATGGCCGTCCTGGGTCAGACCTAAGGTCCATCTAGCCCAGTATCCTGTCTGCCGACAGCGGCCAACCCTAGAG